AACTTATTTTTGGATGTGCCTGAGATCTACCAATGACCTCCATCATGTTGAGTTTATTTAAAGAGTCATTGGAATGGCAAATAAGATTTAGAAAGAGGAGGGGGTAATAAAGAATTCAGGATAGGACAGGGGATGAAAGGCGATTAGTACTTAAAGATGGTATCTATGAACTTCAGCGTTTTCATACAGAATTAGTGGTGGTTTCTCCAATAAGGGCTGTTTAAAATGGATTAGTTGTTCCTGAGAACGCCAAATTTCTGAAAATTATTTGTTAGCTTTTGAGAAAAGAGGTGTAATGTATCTTGAAGTGTATCATTTAAACTGTTCTGCAGATGTGGATTTTAAGATAACGATCCTCGTTCTGTCTTCCTGTTCCTTGCCATTCCTTTCTACCATGCAGTTTTACAAAGGTGTTCTAGCTAGTTCTTTTTCCATAAAATTCCTCTTGCTCTTCTGCCTCTCCAGGTGTAAAAATACCAAATTAATTGTTTTAGGTAGTTTCAAGTCTTCATATATCTATTGGCATGTGCAGATATTGCTGGTGTTAGTGATAAATCTGTCAGTTCAAGGTGGGCTTCTGCCTTCTCTTTGGTTTTCCTATTTCCTCTGTGACTGAGAGCAAACCCCTTCCCATCTGGAGGGGATGGAGGCTTGGGGTGGCTGCAGGCGCTGTGCAGTGTTGTGGCAGGTGAGAGCACTGCTTGTAGGCTGCTGCCTGGGATGAAGGAGTCTCCTCTGAGGGGTATGGAGTCACTTCGAAGGGTACGTGCTGTTCAGATGCGGGACAGCCACCTTTTGAGTCTTGCATTCTTGTTGGATGGATCGTTTTAGATGTGAGGAACAGAAGAATGCAGATTAAACTGACTAAAAATAATTCTGTACTTACGTATCCTTTGCTTCTGCATCACAGGGTAGGGAGGAATCTAGCAAGAGCTTTAGCATTTGTTTCGTTACGTGTACTGCCGCACATGCTTCATCACGAGCTTGAAGTGCGGCAGTCAGATGGGGTGGGTACTCGGAGTAAGTTTCCTCTATTAAAACTAAAGCCAAGGACAGTAAAATACAATTTTTGTTCAGCGCTTCAGCAGTGGATGGCCCCAGCTTCCCTGTGAGCCATTCTTCTGTTAGCTTCAGGTCTGAAGTTACAGTAACTGACAATGAGGTATGAGGAGCAAAATGTTCACATGTGGCAGGTTGGGGCTCTTCCAGAGTATGTTTGTTCCTTGTGGAAGGCAATATCAATGATTTATAATTGGTGGCTAAACAATTTTTGTGGTAGGCTTGTGAATGAGCACATGTAATGCCACGGGGGTTTGAGAAAGCAATGCCGCACGCAGCAAGAAGAGTGGAGGTTGTCGTTTATCACGGTGGTGCTAACAAGATGAGGCTGATTAGCTGTTGCGTGTTTTGGAAACCAGAAAAAACATCCGCTCACAGCGTCACTTAGGAAATACCCTCCCCTCTTTCAGGCTGTTACAGCCAGGCAGTCCCTGACTTTGGGGAGAGCCGGGGAAATCCCTGCAGAGGGACGAGCCTGCTGCCAGCCGTGGGGCTGGGCGGTCGGATGCCAGCTCTAACGCTGCCTCAGGGCGTGGGCCCGCAGGCGCTGTGGAGAGGCTTCTGGGCCGGTGCCTCAGATGCCACCTCAAGAAACCGACTGGTTCAGATGGTTGTGTTGAATCAGGTCTTGAAAACGTTATAATAATATGAAACGTTATAATATTCTGAAAGAGGATCGCTTATTTATTTGCCCAAATATGCATTGCTCTCTTGCTGTACATCTGGTGAAAGCTTTATGGTCGTTGGTTTCCCTTGCAGTCTTGCAGGTGAAAATAAGCTTTTCTCTGCTGAGTCTCAAAGAAAAATGCTAAAATAAATATCTTTCCCTGTTCAGTCTGGGAAGTATTCTGAAAACTTTATAGAATAAAATTGTGCCTGAGCTGAAGTGAGGATCTCTCCGGAGTTCCGGCAAGAAGAGAACTGAAGCTGCTTTCTTCAGCTCATGGTTCATGGGTGAGGGAGTTACAGATGTAGGAGTCTGTATGCGTACACACGCCTTTGTATGTTGAGAGGGAAGGACGTACAAAATGTTTATTCTAGTCTTCGCCATGGATGTAATTACTGACTTGTTAATGGTGGAAGGAGAAGACAGGCCTCGCAGCCTTCCATCACGGTGCGGCCTTGCTGCCATCGCTGCTTCCAGTGCCTCAGGTCAGAGCTGGTGGCAGCATGGTCGTTACTGGGGTTTGCCAGCACTCCTGATGATAGTGAAGCAGCAGTGCCCTTGATAAGAAATGAAAGAATTTCCATTCTGCTTGGCTTTCCTGGTCAAGTTGTCTTACCTGGTGCTATAAATTGTTGTGTTTGCCACATCAGGAATGAAGATGTTTGTATTTTCGTGCAGGATGAGGCCAGTGTTGCTCAAAAACTAGAAGGATTCAGGTGCCCAAGAGACTCCAGAGGTGTCAGATACTACGTATTGACCCACTGTTCCCTGTCAGCACAGTTCTGTATGTCAATACATTTTATTTTCTTGAGGAGTTCCTCCTTTTTTGGCGTTCCTGATGCTGGAAGCACAGCAGTGGGTTGCAGCCAAGTTTATGCTCAGGCAGTGACCACATCGACCAGTGTTTGTGTATCATTGAAAAGACAAAACTGTTCCCAGAATCTTTGAACAGTAGAGCTGGCAGACCTCACAGCTGATGCCTGGTGATGAACCTGCTCTGGTCAGTGTGGTGCTTTCATCCTTTGGGTTTGGATCGTCCGTGTAGAGTTCTGTAACATCAGGCTTCTCGGTTGCCTTTCCTGGACCCAATCTCCTTTTAGCCATCTGATGAGCAGAGAATGAGGATAGTGGCAGTCAGTGTAGTTTCCAGTGTTTTAGGATTCTTTTAGACATTTCATCTCTAATTAAGTTCAGTCATTAATACAAATACTCTGCAAGTAAAATATAAACCTAGATAATCTAAAACTGTTTGAACATACTTCTAAACACACTATCAGTTATCATTGATAACGTGACAGGCAATGTAGCACTATTGGGAAACCACTTGTTTTCCACTCTACATTAATATTCATTCAAATTAATATTCATTCAGAAAGGGTGTGACTGTGATTGCCTCTTCAAAAGTTTGAGTAAAAGTTTGAGTATTCTGATACTGTATTGATTCATACAAGAACCTGAATGGATTCAAGCGGGAAGCTGCTATGTTGCACTCCAGTAGTCTCTCAAAATATTAGCATCCTTTATGCTACTTTGCTACTCCATTAAAGTGCCAGCTGATAAGTAGTTTCTAATGAATATCTTGTTAGCTCTTGTGATAACGTTTTCAGACTAGTGAGTACATTCTTGGAAAAACATCAGGCTTGATTAGGTCATTGAGTAGTCGGTCCCTTCAGTAACTGACAAGTGGAGGTGAAGAATGCCTGCAGCTTACAGTGGAAAATGCATGTGAAGCCAGGTAATCCTAGACTTCTGTCCTGAGCCCACGCACGCATTCTGTTAGTTCTGAACCATCTTCAAACTTGCGTCAGCAAGCATCTGTCCTTCAAAAATATACTGTGAAACACGATATTCAGTTGCTGAGTCCTTTTATCTCTTCACACCAGATAGGCAGAAGAGCGTAAAAATAGTGCTTGGCAACTTGGTTGTGCTTGTGGACAGGGAGTCAGTCAGCCTTAATGCTAAGCCCTCAACAGAAACGGTCTATCTGTGTTTTCACTTGACTTTACATGCAATACCATTCAATACTGATTTGCGGTACAGCATCTGGGCTTCGAGATGAGATAGTTCTTTACTACCTGTCTTTTCCATTTTCTTAATGTGCACGCTAAGGACTTGAGCTTGCTGCACTACCAGCTGTCTTGTATTCTTTGTCCAAAGACTTCTGGCTCTGCACTTTGAGAAAGGTAAAGGTAGAGCTGCTACCAAGGCTACACAACTATCTGAGTTAACACTGATGCCATAGCGGGTAAATAAAATTGTTCATTTCTTTATATTGAAGTCTTCTCTATCTACCAAAGCACCATTGGTTTTTATTCATTCGTTAGATCAAGTCTTTGCTTCTTTTCTTTTCCACTAATAGCTTATTTTTTCATGTGTAGAACTGTGAAAGGAGGAGGTACAAATGACTTAGCAACAAAGCCAGGATGTTGAAAACAGGAACAGCAACAAAAGCATTCTTCAGATGTGTCCCTTATTTCTGTAATCTGCCAGTATCTGTTCAGAAACTTCCCACATGATAAAGTTATCACTGCAAATTCTTTTCAGTATAATCAGTCAGACTGTGTTTAAAAACAAACAAAAAACCCACCGTAGCATAGATGACAAGGTAAATGGGAGCTCTCCTGAGAAAAGAGACCTACAGTAAAGGTCTTACATTTCTGAGTGTGAATTTTTCAGGCTAGCCTGATACGCAGATATTTTTTGTTGGCCTCCCTTTGAACCACAGCAGATACATAGCCTCTTGTATATATCAAAAGGCACTCACTCCACTGAGGAAATTTCGCAATTACTGTAGGACTTGAAATTTTATTTTGAAGAAAATCTGCTGAGGTATGGTGGGTTGTTTTGGGGGTTTCTCTCTGTATATATCTTAGTGAATTCTGTCGTGGACATCTGATTTTTCTAAATAGCCTAGTATTCAATGCCGAAGTACAAAAACAATAGTAATTCTTCCCTTGGGCTTTTAAAATACTGGTTCTTCAAAACTGTGGTTGAACTTTCTCAGTATTTTGTATTTGATGGTTTCAGTGCATGAATGTCATTACTTCTTGATTTGTAATTTCTTTTAGGGATAGTAATATGGTGTGGTATTTCTCTATTAAAAATAAAACCACAACTTATTAGCTTCTCTCAAACGCTGTACTATTTATTGTATTTGATAGAAGCTAATAATACTTCTGTCTTCTGTGTGCACCTGGCTGGTAGTTTTGTTTTGTACCCTTAATATTCGTGGTCTGTGAAACAGAGAGAATGAACTATGTTTTTTCTTTGGTAGGATTTTTCCAATTAAAGATGTACCTGCAGAGCCTGAAGCTCTTACACACTGGCTATATCAACGATTCATTGAAAAGGAGGATCTCCTGACACATTTCTATGAAACAGGTAGGATGGTGTCTAGCAAAGAGAATTGTGCTTTGATTATGTCTTTTCTTATAAGGATCTCAAAGTGGTTTAAGAATGCATATATGCTTTTCACATTAATACAATACATAGAGATACTAACGCTTTTTATGTGGCAAAAGAATGTATACTAAGGAATGATGTAGAAAACAGTTTGCCTGGCTGTGATTAGCATTGGGTAGCATTTGGAAGCTGTTACAATTGAAACAGAGCTAAGGAAATTCCCTTGTTTCACCAGTAACATACATGTAGAGTTCAGCTGGGAAACTTGCTGCCAAAGGGGAATAATTTAGCAAGATTCAAAGAGGTAGTGTTCACATGCACCAGTAAAAAGTATTCAGAATTTAAGTTTGGAGGGGACATAAAGTCTTCAGGGTTTAAAAATGAGCAAGTTCTTGAAAAAAAAGAGAATAAATAAAGCTCTTATGTGAGGCAGGTTTTGTTTTATCTTAGTGTGGCTATATAACATCTTCCTCAGGCGCTTGTACAGAGAAAAACTGACCAAGGTAGTCTGTAGGTGTAGTCCAAAATCGTAGCTCTCTTCTGTTTCCCACTAAGTTGAACAGAAGGATGCTCTGACTGGAAGGATCTGTAAGAACAACATAGCATAACGCCTTCGGAGTCTTTGTCTGCCTGCAGCCCTTTGCTGTGAGCACTGGTCTCCTTGCCATGACATACCCTGGGTCACTTCTGTCATAACATACTTTCAGTGTTAATGGATCAGAGAGATATCTAAATACATTTGGGTCTTTAATAACATTACTGAAAGGATACTGGCAAATGATGTGATTTAAAATACTAGGTAAATGCTTAGCTGGGGAGGTGTTTCCCCAAGGCTCTTTTTTTTTTTCCATCCAGTTGTTGGCTGTGTGCGTGTTTTCAGAGCACAGACCAGAGGATCTTATTATAATAAAAAAGAAAATCCAGAGAGTAAAAAATACAGTTTTGTTTAAACATACAGGAAAGGAAGTTTGTCAAACAAACCGAGTGGAAAGACTCCAGATGAAATAATGCAATGTGTTTTCGAAGAAAAATAAATCCCTTAGCGATTACAACTGCTGAGGAGAAATGCAGTCTGTTGAATCAACTGAGTTTAATATTCCAGAGTGACTAATCAGAGATGTTACTTCTGTTAGATGATTTACTGCAATAACTGTTTTGATTCTGTTCTGAGTGCTTAATTTATCAATTCTACTGCTTAAAATGATTGCTTAATTGAATTCGTTAGCAACCCAGCGTTGTACTGTGCTGTATGAAATATTGCTGTCATTCAACCATAATTGATAGCCAAAGTCAGACCCTGCTATGTAACTTGCATCCAGATGCATATATTAGACAAATAACTTGGTGAGTCTGCCTAAAAGTGTAGTCAATAGGATGTAAGGAATTGTTGTTATTGAGACATTATTTCACAAATACCATGCCAATAACATGGTCATGCCTAAAAACCTAACTAGACCAGAATTTCAAACAGTATAATGAATATAATCAGACATACTCCTTGGAATGTGCTTCAAAAATAGGATGATTGGTTGTAATTTACTGGGTAATGAGCATGAATTAATAAGACGCTATAAATGTAAATGCTATGACACAGAACCTTATTAGGCATAAATTAGCATATTTTAAAGTTACCACTAATTATGCCAGTTGAGAACTTACTTGCATTTGCTTTTGCTGTCATGGTTTACTGCAAATGTGCTATTGCAGTTTTTGGAAAACCCCACCAGTCCTGAGGACTAATATGAGGGGAATCCCTGAAGCTGCCCAGCAGCTTGCTTTTTGGGGGCGCGTTGTATTGTCTCAAGTTAGTGCACTTTTAAGACTTTGGGGATGTGGCAGCATTTTGACTTTGTAATACGTGCTGCTTGGGAACTTGTCCGAGTTCATAAGGTTTACTTCAGGCAGTAACTTTCATTATGAAATTAAAATATTTTTATTCGGTGAACTATTTGTTTTAAGCCTGAGTAACATTTAAGGCTATTTGAAATGTCAAAAGCTTGTTACTGGTATAATCTCTTACCATCAGTAGGAGTACATTCTTTTGGGGTATTTTTATTTGGGAAGAAAAAGAATACGTGCCTAAAATATTTTTTCTCTTTTTGCAGTATTCCTAACTAGTAAGGACTTCAATTGATCTAGGGAAAACCTGTAATATTCAATGTCTTTTAAAAAAATATATCTTAAAAATTGAAGATGAAACTGTCCCATTCTTTCTTATAAGTAGATTTTACACATTTTGTTTATAAAATTAAAATATTTACAGTAAACATCTGTAGGTATGAGCAACACAAATATTCCTAGCAGTTCATGGAAAGCTTGTATTGGCAATTGCATGATTTCTCTGAAGTCTTGAGCGGGATAACCTTGAATAATGCAGTTATACAAATGGGATTACTTAGCACTTGGAGACTAGTTTTAAAACAAAAAGCATTGGAAGTGAATAATTGCATACTGAAGACATCACACTCCTTGTTCATTCTGACCACAAGCCAACTGATGTGATGCAACTAAAAAAAGTAAGCAGTGTCATCCTACAGGGCAGCAGGAGGGTATTTTCAGTAGTGGTACAGAAACACTTTTTCCACTGTACCAGATTTGAAACCTCATCTGCAAATTCTGCATATAGATCTGTCAAGAAACATGAGTTGAACTGGGAAGAGGGGCAGGTAATAGGTGCTAAGATGATGGAGGGGAAGGAGGAGTTGTTTCTGGGAAGGACAACTGGAAGTGCTCGTCTAGCAAAGTGAAGGATCATTTTCCCTGTAAGACACAAGTTGGCTTGGGAGAGGAGGAAGGGGAAGAGGCAGTTGCTGTCCGGCCTGAGGGGCAAGGAGAGTTATTTAAACCAAAGGTCAGTGTTGGTACAGGAAAAACAGATGAGCCATGGAAGACGAAATCTAGTGTAGAGTGGGCAAAGAAGAGATCAGTAGTGAGAATTACTGGTGAATAAATGGTGTGGCAAATCTGCCCATGTGTGAAAATATGTGTCAGTGAGAGGAGGATGGGACTCATCAAGATTTTTTTAATGTGAGAGCATTCATATAAAAAGAAAAGCTTTGTCTTAAGTACTTGACTGCAATTCCTCCAATGATTGCAAATGTGAAGCACAGAGATAAGTTGCTGATGGTATCTAATTGCCCAAATTGTGTAGTTTCTAAGATTCAAAACTGACGATGTTGTATCTGTGCTGTTTGAATCATTCACCTCTCGTTTTTCTATGTGTAGCTGCAACTCTATAATGCTGTTGCAAGAACATCTTCATCTAGTATATTTAGTTTTTGTATCCTCTGTAAATAACTAAAAAAAAGTGGTTCATATCAACTAGGTTTTGTGCATCTCAGCAACATGTTACACAAATTATTTAATATACGGAAGTAAATATATGCAAAAATGTGCTTATGATCATAAGGCTCTGATGTATTTGGACACAGTGTAGTGTTGTAAGTCATAAAAAGTCAAAATAGGGAAAAAATGAACGTTTTAATTATCAGCTGTAACTCCTGCCAATCCTTCTCATATAAACAGACATTTCAAAAATTACTTCTAGAAAACAGAGTAGCAAATTAGAGTGCTTCCTTGTGACCTTCAGTCTATGTGACCTGACTGGCTAATGAATGTTCAAACAACATATAAAAATTATTGTAAGGGGGAAAAAAAAAAGTATATATACGTATTATATGTATGTGGTTGTATGTATATGTCCATATTCAAGAGGAAAGTTGAGATTTTAGTTGTTCACAGTATACCAAATTATTGCCAAACAGCTGCAAAGCTTTTCACAGCATCCATTCAGTTTGATAATATGGACATTAGCACAACTATAAAAAATAACCCAGAAGACTTCAGTTGCCAGTCAGATCTCCTTGCAAGGGTTGAATACAGTCAGGATGGCTGCTTTTAAGGAAAGTTTAAGTTTATATCCAAATGAAATGAATGTTAGTCTTAATAATAAAGCTTATTTTATTTTCTTGAAGATGACTGATAATAGCGAAGACTATTTTGAAAACGTACAGCCTAATACAAAACTAATCAATACATTGTTATGGGTCAGGTAGCAATGGTAAAGGCTAATGCATGAAGCCTATCACTCCTGCTGTGAAAGCATTACCTGTGTGTTCTTTTCTTTTTCAGGAGCTTTTCCTCCACTGCAGGGTCAAACGAAAGCTGTGTCTCGGGCGATGACCCTCAGTAATCTGTGGCTAGTTGGCATACAATCACTTGCATTTTTGTCAGGCGGTATGTGGTACTGCATCCTACAGTATTTTTATCATTGCCTATTTTAAAAGTCGAATGGGACCTGAGGACACAGAATCCAGGCTCTTGCAAATGAATATCATATTGTATGTGCAAATGTGAATATACAAGAGTAAAGGAAAATACTGGATGGACTCTTACCTCTCTCTGGGGAAATTTTAAACTCCACTGAAAGTGAAGATCAGTAACATAGTGACCTGATGATGTATTATTTTAAGAATTGTCTGTATTTTTAAAAAGTGTATACTCTCACCCACACTTAAGCAAATTCAGCATTTGGACAAAAGGTGCAATCGTACAACCACCGTAGAAGAATGTCTGCGACAAGAAAACTGTCACCGCAAGTATTTCTTGGCATTGTAGTTAGAGCTCAGAAAATTCAGCAACTTGTCTCTTCCGTAGTCTGTACAGCATTGGTGTGGTAGAGATTTCCTCATTTGCACAAACTTGTACTTTATTGCAGCTCATTGTGCTGGAGTCTGAGATACTCTGCGGAGCTGGTGGCGGTAACTTTGAGGCTACCCAGTCAGCAGCTGTTGTAATAGACACGTTGATCTAAAACCAGGACCCAAGTAAGGTTCAGCGTCAGGTGTGCTTTGTGAGGAATCAGCCCTCAAAAAAAGCATTGCAGCATCATAGTGTGATTAAAAGTTATCCACGTGTGATGAATCAGCCCATCCCTGCTGTGGTTTTACCATCAGCTGTCTGAATTCTGTGTGCTACCAGTATCTCATATTAGGAGGAAACCTGGAGAATATTAAAGCCACTTGGTCTGTTTCCCCGTTGTGTTCAGAATGCATCCCGTTGACCATTATCACTTTTCAAAATGCACTTTTAAAGGTGAAAATACAGTGAAGGAAAGACATACATCTTAAGGAGTAGGGGAAAGCTTTATCTGTCATGCATTGGAAGCCAGAGCAATTCTAGGTGTTTCTGACGGTCTGCTGGTGCTGCTGGTGATTTTTAGCCACCTTTGTATTTTGTATACTGCGGTCCCACCAAGGTGACCTTTGAGTGGTTTCTAGAGGCCTTTTTCTCCCCTGCTAGTTGCAACAGCGCTAAATATACTTGTGGGAGAGTTTAAATAATTCAATGCCAACCATCTTAATGTTTTGCTAAGGAATAACAGAAGGAAAACTAGTTTCTTAAAAAAAGAAAAAAAATAGATATAATAGTTGTCATCAACTTATAAGAAGATATTACTGCAAAAACAAAAGGTACGTGAAATATTCTGAGTAACTCCAAGGAGGGCAGTACTAATTAGCTCACCAGTGTGCTAGAAAACCATGGTGGAAGAACGAGTTGAATTTAAAGGCAAACTGGACCAGAAGTTCCAGTCCCATTTTCAGATGTGTGATACAGGGTACTTCTGAAAGGGTGTCTGTGATGTACGGGCTTACTTCTGGCAGGTCTAGTTAGCATTGTGTTTATGTGATTATACACAGATTTGAAAGAGCTGTTCCTAAAATAAAATTAATCTCTCTAAATACCAGCAGGATAGCCAGAACTTCATACTCTAATTTTACTGAGAACATAGTAAGCCCTCAGTAGTTTTGGCTCTGAATTAGCAATATTGATCCCCCTCCTTCTCTCCCTCTCTCCCTCTCTCTCTCTCTCTCTCTCTCTCTCTCTCTCTCTCTCTCTCTCTCTCTCTCCTGCTACGGGAATCAGTAGGTGGTGTGCAGAATTTAAATAAATACATATTTAAAATTTAAAGTGTTTCCTCTGGGGGTCAGGAAGGGGGAGTGAAGAGTGTACTAAAATGAGGCAATGCCGATTCTCCTGGTTTAATTGAAAGACACCTTGTCAAATATGCATCTCTATCTCTCCCCAAAATAGTTTTATCCTAGTTGCAAAAAAATAGGATGGTTGCAAACTGCTAGATGACAGTAAGTTTCCCTGAACTGAGAGTCCACTCATGGACTTAAAGGTACCTCTGTAACTGAGAGACAAAGGACAGTGCTTGCCTACAGCTTAGTATTTTATTTAAGACGTCTCTAAATCCCACCCATTTACACCCAGTCACACACCTGAATTCTAGTGTAACATAAAATCCACTTAAGAGTGAAGCCCTGAAGAGGGAGGCAGTCTTGGGAGTACACTTTTTTTCCTGTTGCTCCTGCTGAGGTACAGCTGGCAGAATGAATGTATTTAATCTGCCACTTTCCAGGCAGGTGCTGAGGCAGCCGGTGCCATTACAGTGTAAGTGGTTATGTCTGCAGCACGTGGGCATAAGTAGACTCTCAAAACTGCAAAATGCAGATGGTGAGCTAATCATTTCTGTCCTCCACCAGGTGGTTTGATCAGAACCGCAGAGATGCCCATGATACAGCTGGTTTTATTTTGAGCTAGGACAGACTAGAGTGATATAAAAAGGGAAGTTTATATAAGCAGATTGCACAGCAGTAACTTGCATCAGGAGGTTGTTCTTTGTAGACTCAGTAAACTCCATGTAAGATCATACTGTTTTTTCAAATGCAGTGTTTTTTTTGTTTGTTTGTTTTGTTTTTTGTTTGTTTGTTTGTTTTTCTTCCAGTGGATTACAGTCAATAGTGAGTGTTCACATGCTGCCTGAAGAAATTAGTAACGCGCAATAATGTTTCAGATAATCCTTTGATTTATCTGGTCCTGTGCATTTTCAGTTAGTTCCTTTATACTTCTTACTATTGCAAGGCATCTGTTCGCAAACACTGATCGTTGTTTTGATAGGGTGAGGACATAGTGTTAGGTCCTAGGCTTCTTTTCCTTCCTGCACTGGAAAATGTGAAGGGAGCCTAATGTTGTCTCTCTCCGCGGCTGAGTCACTGTAGATGACAGTGGAATGAAACTGTTGTTAACAAAATCCAAAGCACCCTCCCAGCACGAATTTGGATGCTACTTCGTGGCAGAGAAGTTGTTCTAGTAAGGGAAAAACATAAAATGTATACAACACCCGAGAGATTCTGTGCTAAAAATACCATGCTGGTGAAGGCTGGAGTGTAGCAGGCTGGTCTGTAGAACATAAATTCCTCTTGGTTGCAGTTCGGTTCTGCCTGCGGGCAGTTGGCCGGTGGTGGAGTTGTAGCGAGCATTTTGCTGCAGCACCCGTGGGTTTCCGCTTCTGAAGAGCTCACGATGCATTTTATAAAAGTGATGTTAACAAACCGTACAGTTGATCACAAAATGGTTAATTACTGTACCTTTGAATTTGTATTAGGAGAAATATTATGGAAGAATGTATAAAGTGACAGGATGAGAAAGGTAAAGAAAAATAATTGTTGCGCGCACAAGCGAGAAGATAGTGAAGTTTATTGTGAATAAAGACGTTTCTCTGCTGGGGTTGCACACAACATTTGTAAGTTTCTATGTTTAATTTTTCATAAACAGTTTAAAAGTGAAACAATGCAAGTCCTAATGGTTTAGCTCTTTGAATCCCGTTATATGAAGAATACCTGCCCCTTCAAAAAGAGCAGTGTTTTTGTTTCAGTGCCCTCTGAGTGTACCTTCCTTACAGATTCTCTTGTGTTTTGTGTACGGTTCTAGAAAGTATTTCAACAATGTCTCTTGCAGGAGGGACTTTTTTTTTTTAAGTTGCTCTCATCAGATTTTGAGGAGAAAGATTGCAATTTACCTTGCTCACCAGAAAACTAAAAGCTTCCTTCTCCCTCTTACGTGCTCAGCATCAAAAATAAGATGCATCTTACTGCATTAAAAATCCAACGACCACTGTGGTACTGCTCATTATTGACTTGATTTGCAAATGATGTAATTGTTGGGTTTTTCCTGTCTGACATTGCCATAAAGTGCTGTTAACTTTTTCACTTGTTTGTACAAGTTAATACAGATGTACCGATCACTGTGTGTGACAGGATTCAACTGCTCCACTTTGCCTTGTCATAAAACGTTGGGACCAAAGGTACTTGAAACTGGGATTTCCAAATCATGAGTCTGGGAATGGTGCGTTCTGTGATAGTCAGCTGGAGGTTCGGTTGTTGATCTGATACAATCACACGAAGTAATTATACATCTGGGGTACTGTATTGTTTGGAAATAATGGAGCCATATGAAATAAAAGGTTATTTTGCAAAATTGCATATGTGATAGCTTTTACACTTTTTTTTAAAGAAAAGACAATTGGAAGAGCAAAATTGAAACCATACTCTGAGTTAAAAAGTCTGCATACATTATGAACAGGTTTGAGCAACTTTAATTTTTCTGTGTAAAAACTGTAGGCTACTTGGCTGTGACACAAACCAAGTCTTTAAAAGAATTCTATGCATTTTAAAGCTAAATCTTTTATCATTGGATAATGAAGTAATCATACACTGAGCAACTGTCCTGTTAAAGTGAGTTAGTTCCTTTAAAGTTACTCTACAATATTGTTTGTTTTATATGATAACAATTAGCTTTCTTGATACCATTTATTTTAGCCTCCAATTTTTGCCTTCCCTCCTGTGTTACTCGCATTTTGTTCTGTATGATAAAATGGATGCAGAAGCCTCTAGTGAGTCTCTGTGATTTTGCAAAGGGATGGTTGTGTTTGATTTACTTTACTGAATTTATTTCATTGCATTTTTTTTACCAAATCTTTCCAGCAGCCAAGATGTCTTTCACAAATGTAGACAGATACAGAAGAAGCATTTCTCCACAGAGATTATTAGGTGTTTTTTCCCATTTTTTGTGTGTGGCAAAATAAAGTTGATTTTTTTTCACAATTATTTCATGTGCTTCTAATCCTTAATAGCGGAGATGATTTTGTTTGAGGGTCGTATTTATTGTGGTTGTATCTAATAGATGCACAATCTCTGTTGTGTTTGCCATCGACACTACAAACAGTAGGGTAACACTTCAGTTCACCAGACAGTGAGAGTTAATTTAAGTGATATTGTTGCTTGTAGAGCTCTCAGGAAGGATACAGAGAAATCTTTCTATGCCAGAAGTGGTTTAAGGGGAGGAGTGGAGCAGTAGGGCAGAAGCAGCTTCTGTGGTGCTTGCCTGCTCGAGCACCTGCTGGAAACTTCTCTGGCACCGAGACCGCAGAGTTTCTGTGCAGGGCACTGCGTGGCAATGATTCCCCTTGAAGTCTGTGAGAGTTCAGGCGGCACCAAGAGCAGGACCTGGGCCCCCAGTGTCCCTGGACTGCTGCCGTCCAAGAAAGAAACGAATCCAACCTTTTTGTGAGCAAGGCTGTAATGGTTTTGTAGATGCATCTATTTTTTATCAGAGCAGTCTGCTTTTAAACAAGTTCAGCCAGGCAAAGCAATACAGAGCGGGACAGCACCCCTCCTCCTGTGGCCTGGGCCAGCTCGCTAAGGATAGCTCTCAGAGTACCAAGAAAAGGAGCTCCTCGGAGCACAGGGAGGCATCTCGCGAAACTGCGCAGTGGTTGTAGTTATGTCTACCTCTTTGTTTCCCTTCTGGGTTTCGTCCTGTTTTCCTGTGTGGTGTTTTTTGTGAGGGGTGGGGGGGGATCGGGGAGGGAAAATTTGAAATCTAAATATAAGGCACTGGTGGGAGATCCACTGCTTACCAGCTGTGTTGTCATATTGAAAAAGCCATTGTTTTTAATTCCTGCCTAGTATGAAATGTTTTAAAAATCTTTCCTGCTGGAAAGAAAAATGTATTTTTAAAAAACAGAAAAAATCCTTCTTTTGGCTATGAGAATGTCAGCTGTATGAGTTGTGACCATATCATGACATGCTGATCAGATATAAATAAATTTTTATCTCTCAGGACTCTATCTTGTATTTTTACTTTTCTGGTAACTGTCACGCGGGTTTTTGTTTGTTTTGTTGTTGAAAATATTCTTGATTTCAGCTGAGGCAGCAAATAAAAAAGGTATGTGAGTGTCATGTCACATGTGTACAAAGAAACATCTCTTGCTGATCCTAAAATAAAATCACCATGTGGAACATATCCCAAGGCTTGCTAGTTCACAGCGAAGGGGAATTGCTGCAATTAGCTTCCACTTCCAGGTGCTTTTCTCCCTCCTTCCCTTCCTGCCTCTCTCCTTCCCTTCCATCCTCTCCGAGAGCTTCAGCTCCTGTAAAATAGTGCGCTTGGCCCGTCTGGCATGCAGAGTGCATGCGCACCTTTCCAGCCAATTTAAAAGCAGCCACCTTCTTACACAGGGTGCAGAGAAACAGCTCTGACCAGAGTGATGCTCACAGGGGACAGCAGCGTGCCTGTGGATAAAAACGGGTGTCTGAGGTGGTCAGGTGTGTTACATCTGTAGGCACTTTATTATTTTTTTTAATTTTGAGATCACAATATCTCCGTTTTCTGGCAGAAAAATATTTACATATATATGTTAATTTCTTTGTATAGATAGACTTTGTTAATACTTACATTTTCAGTGCATCCTTAGATTCTCTGGGGAATAAGGAAAAGTTCTCTTTGGTTGTCCTTCCAAGAGTCAGTCTGGTTTTGTACTGAGTTAAGTGGCTGATTTGATAAAAGGCTGCATTTTGAAAAGAAGTTTTCCATTTGCAGTTAACTGGTATAATTCTATGCAGATCAGTGGCATACAGTATATTTTCATAAATTAGATTAAATAAACTTTTTTTATTATATCAATTTGTTATTTGAGGATGAGTCATTGAGTAGTCCAAATCACTTTGTAAAGTGTGTGTTTGACAGTAAGCATCTTAACAGAGGCAAAAGGAAGGTTATATATCTAGCCAGAGAGATCATGGAAGAGGCCATCAGGAAGAGAAGTCACCCCAGGAGGCAGTGACACCAGAAAGAATGGAGACAGTGGCAACCAATGACTGAATGCAAGTTTCCACTGTAAATAAATACAAATAAATAAAAGGGCAGACTTGGCTCTTCAGGCAGATAGGTTGAGTAGCAGTAGAGCGCAGTAGGACTTCTGTCTATGGCATTATTGGGACCATATATTGAATACTGACTCAAAATTGCTGGGCAAGACAGAACAGAAAAGTTAATAAACCATTTTTTCTGCCCTCTCTGTTTTCCTTTCTGGACTAGGTATGGCTGGCTGGCTGACTTGAGATGAGACATGCTGCCCACCCCCTTAGAAAGGTTTTCTCCTTCTCCTCCTCCTCCTCCTCAGGATGCTGGCTGTTCCTTGCATTGTCTCTGCTGAAACTGCATGCTCCCTGCTCTGAGCCGTGGCTCTAACTTGTCTGCTTGGCACACCCTGGGCCGCCTTTTTCTTTCTTTTTGCCCCAGTCTTGGTTTTAAGGAAGAATCACGCATTCCTCTTCATCCACTGGCTCCCCCTTCAGGAGACTCCATCAAACGAGATTAGAGGCTGAAACTTCACATTAGGATGCGATGGTGGAAGTGCTGCTGCCTGACTCCTGTCTGTCTCATCCTCACCTCCCACCAGCACAACCAGACAGCCGACCTGTTTCCCTCTCCTTGCACACATCTCCTTCACTGATGTGAGGGCGATAGGTACAGCAGCACCGGGAAACCACAAACCTGCCAGTACTGTTCTCTGAGGTGAAGTCGCTGGGTTTTATTTTCCCTGTAGGCTTTTTACACATTTGGGAATGCTGAAGTTGTTGGTTGGTTGTATTCACGGTGTTGTTGTATGTTTTGGTTGTTTTGTTGGGTTTGGTGGGGTTTGTTTTGTTTGGGTTTTGTTCATTTTTGTTTTTCCTGCTGCTGTTGTGTTCCTTCATCCCTGTGTTTCTCTTAAGCTGACACGTGGGGATGGTGCTTGTCAGCAAGTACCTGAAGTGGAGGAACCCATACCTCGCAGGTGGGGACTGTCCCTCTGCACTTGTGGCTTGAAGTACACACACCTGTGGAATTGTGCATCCTCTGAAAAAGAAAAGAGTGCTTTCCGCTGGATGAGACAGCTTCACTGCGGCAAACTTAAACTTGTGGAGCAGAATTGTTGGCTCAGGGATTTGGTTTTATTTGGCCGCTATTTTGGCCTCCCTGACAACTGGTTAAAAAAAAAAAAAAAAAAAAAAGTGGAACATTGTTGTATGTGCAGTGCTCTTCTCTGTTACACCACAACCAGAGAATTATGGGGTCTGCACTTGACAAACACAAATTCAGAGACTCCAGAGTTGAACCTCATAGGCTATAATTAGGGTGGGGCTGTTTTTCCAGGAAGTTTCTTAGCCAAAACTGATGACAAAATATTAATATTATTTTAATAGGCCAGTAGAGTCATTGCTTACAACTAGGCTCTGTTTATTGCCCACAAGCCTGCAGTAATAGTTGCTGAAACAACGTGGATTAACCACTGCTGGATTAATCTCTGGCAAATAAATGTTCTCCCAATTCAGCTTATTCCAATACTGTGTATTGATTCCTCTGTCGCTTGAAGCAGATGGATTTTGTTTCTCCAACCATTGCCTTACAGTAATACTAATGAGGTTTGGTATGTGCTTTGTGTTTACCCTGTAATTATTTAACCTTGAGAAAAGTAGTAAGTTTTGCAGACAAGTAGGTATTTGCTAAGTGGACAGAAGAACACACATGGGAGGACAGTCTCTGAAGGTTGCCTGTGTACGTGCCACATGGCTATAGGTGTCACAAGTTCAGTTGTGCTGATAGAAGGATCTAGACAAAGGTGGAGTTTTAGCATTAGTCACTGAATACATTTTGACTTTTTTTTTCCCTCCAAGAAGCTGAAATGAAGTTGTACCAAAGTCCAAAAAAGACCCCACGCAGCTAGTTAAAGCTACAAAGGTAATCTGGAAAAAGTTAGTGGAAGAACGAAGCCTAGCCTGTTTATCCCATGGAAAGTAAAATAAAATTCTATTATGTAAAGTTCTCTGTAGGTACTTTCACTCATGGACTAAATAGTCTGAAAAGAAAAGCCCTAAGACGCAGCAGTTCTGTGCAGAAGAAGCTATCCTGACAGGTATGTGTTCAGTTCTTCAGACTTGAAGATACAACTGTCAATTTAAATATTTTACTACAGAGCTGAAATAGAAGGAGGTACTGTTTACCCTAATTACTACACTGGGAGGTTGTGACCTACATTATGCAGGTTACTAGACTAGATGTTGTCTGAAAGTCTGTGGAACTTACTATTTTGCTTGTAAGTCGAGTGCCAGTTCTCTTGTAGGCTTTTAAATTCATAGAATCACAGAATGGGTTGGGTTGGAAGGGACCTTAAAGCCCATCCAGTTCCTACCTGCCTGCGGTGGGCAGGGACGCCTCCCACTAGACCAGGGTGCCCAGGGGCTCATCCAGCCTGGCCTTGAGCACCTCCAGGGATGGGGCATCCACAGCTTCTCTGGACAAATTCTCAGTACAACAGGCTTAAAATGACTCTGATCCTGCAGGAGAGAGCAACAAATAAAATAGTATTTTTTGAGGCTATTCAATGATTTTTCTTATTGGCACTGCTGTAATGCCTTCATTCATTATGTGAACACAGCTCACAGCAGCTGCACAGTGAATCAGCCCCCAGATATGCCTGAGCCATTATCTGCTCACCAGGAATAGCCAGTGCTGGTGCCTCAGGGAAAATTGTAAGGATCCCTGGAGTGGATAAGTATCAAATAACCTTGCTATATATAGGATTTTTCTTCCTAACCTTTCTGTTAGAAGCTGGCTTGTGTCCTGGCCCACTGGAATTTAGATCCCAAATTTGTTTTCTTTTTAGTTTGCCTCCTCACTGTCTGTTCTGTTTTGTAGTCCTGATATATTTTTGTGCTTGGGGAGGTTAATGAGTCCTGCAGGCCACTTACAGGCTCTTCAAGAGTCCACTGTGTTTCATAAAAAGCTTCATTAGATCTAAGTGTTCTGTCTTTGCATTGGTTATTTTTCCCCCTTGTGTTAATGAGCAGTTTAAAAAATAAAAAAAATCCCAAATTTGTTTTTTTTTTTTTTTTTCTGTTTACCTTTCCTAGGTTTATATACCTTTGTCATGCCTACAATGACTGGGATTACTCTGAGCTAACTATTTAAACTTCTGCTCTCATTCCTGTAGCTTCATCACCTGCACAGTTATTTCCTTCCGCTTGTTATTATAACATTCAGAGAACTGATAGTCCTGTTGGTGTAATTTATTTAAATAGTAATTTAAATACATCTTGATGGCAAGGTTAGATTAATTAATGGATTTACCATTAGTGATATCCTGACTCCGGTGAAATATATATAAATCAAATTGTAACTATGTTAGCAGCTACTACTAGCTACTAATAGGCTACTGCCAATGGTTCTTTATCCCCTGTGCAAAAATACACATTTAGCTTCCTTGCATAAGGAAGAAATCCAAAAAGATAAAATGGTTCCATAAGGTAGGTTTTAAGCAATCAGAGAATTTAAGAGAATTTACTTCCTTCATCCTAATACTTATCTTTAAAAAAAAAAAAATGTTTAACAAACCACTTGAGGTTTGTTTGCATCCCCCTGAAATCTTTGAGCTGGTGTTTGTAGAAACCAAAGCGCAGCCTGAATACCCTAAATCATTCACTGACTGAGAAATAGTCCTGGCTCTCTAAAGCATCTATTAAATTTGGTCTCTGATTTTTATGTGTGGCCATTTAATTTGCTATATGAAAATAAATCCAACATATTCAGCTAAGCCAAAGGGTGAAGATTTGGAAAAAATACATGTTACTATGCAAAAATGTATTGACACTTGTCTTCTGGCTTGCACGGCTCTCTCTAGCACCTTGTGTAAGGAGGTATTATATATGCTGTGTACGGTAGCTCAGGCAGCACAGCAAACCTGATTGTATTAAGGGGAGATATCACAAGGTCAGAAGTGCCAATTGCACTGATTAGTGCA